AGTATTGAAGATATAAAATAAGTTTTAGATATTAGTTTCAAAAGAGTTAGGCAGCAGTCCTTACCTTGGTTCCACTGTAATCATATTTTGGTGTACCAATTCCTGATTGACAGCACCATTTGTAAAGTTCTGCAACATTACTCCTGAAAATAAAACATTAAATAATAAAATTTCTGTAGATTATTTCAATTCCTATACATTATTTTGAAATCACCAGAAACACTATTCAAAATGTCAAGATGATTTCAAGATTTTGTACTTAAATTCAGCATCTGTAAGATTTTTCTTTTTTTTAATAGCAAATTTCATTTGTTCCTTTGAGAACTCCAAAATATGGTGTGAAAAAAAACAAAAAGACAAAACAAAAAACACCTAAAACGTTTCTTTACAGAACAGTACACTCCTGGCTATTACTGTACTCCTTAGGTTGAGATTAAGTTTAATATTTTAGGTCAGAGTTTTTATCCCTTGACAAAGCTCAAAAACTCATCTGAAGTTTTCTTTATATATCAGAGTTGTAATTTTGTAAAAATAGGTAAATAAATTTTATTTTTAAATAGGTAAGTTTTAGTACAACTTGAAACATTTTTCTTAAATGAGACACACACACACACATATATATATATATATATATATATATAGTACAGGTAATCGATCCGTTGGTATATAATCAGAGTGAATCCTAGTAATATTAGTTATTAAAACTGATCCACAGAGAGCTTGATGTATTTATTATAACAGAGCATACATATTTTTTACAGCAAAAAAACAAAAATTACCTCAACATAGAAGATAGTATAGAACAGCTTGAAATAGACTATCTCCTATGTTCAGGTAATTTTTTTTTATATATATATATATATATATATATATATATATATATATATATATATACACACACACACACAGAGTGTTCACATATATGTGTGTGTGTGTGTGTGTGTGAACATAGATGGTTACTTGTTTCTGAGTACACCAATCTACTTGGGTGGCTACCTCCTCTACTAGAGAAGTCTACACAGGCAAAATTGTATTCCTTCAACATCCACAGAGTACACCAGTGATTTATACTGCACCCATGCTGAGCAGACCATAGTTACAATTTCCAGGCATGTGTGCATAGTGCATAATCTGATTATCAAGTTGAACAAAGGCTGTATGCTCAAATTCTCAGTTTATGCACACACACACAAAGAGGAAAAATAGAAAAATAATAACCAACCTAAAACCAATAATTAATGCATAAATTAATTTTTAACTATGTATAAAAATAATGAAAATCTCTACTTCTGATACCAATTGGGACAAAGTTTGTCTATGAAACTCCAGAATCAAAGTGCTGACTATAACACACACACACACACATATATATATATATAGTTTATGCAAAACTAGGTAATCCGTATGGGTAGACCCAAGGAGGATGATATCCAGAGAGCTCAATGTAAATTCAGAGCAAATATGTTTGAATAAAAACAGACCACTTTAAGGTTCCATGTTATAAGTTATTTCACCACAGCATCTAAGAATTTGAGTGAAACCTGCGCTCATGGACATAATTTATTATTTTATTGTTTGCTGTATCTTCCCCCTTTTAAGTCGGTCTTCTCCCTCACCCCTTACCCATCTATATCTAGAGATAGCATATGTTAAGTTAAGCGGCGTCTAGCCTACACAGAGTGGGGTTAAGGATAAGGAATTGAAATGGTACATCTAACTCGCTCATATCTTCTCTCCCACCTCACTTCCTCAATTTTACATATGCTTGGTGTGGTCCATCAAAAATGTGTAAGTTTCTTTTCATTTTAACTTTTGGAAGTAAAGTCTGATGATCCAGAGCCCTTTAAAAGGGTTGTGGTGAAATAACTTATTACATGGAACCTTAAAGTGGTCTGTTTTTATTCAAACAAATTATATATATATATATATATATATATATAAGATTAATGTGAGTAAAAGTTTGTCGCTTAGCTGATTGATGTTACCTTCAGCATCCCAACTCCAGAATTATATATACCTTATATTTTTTTTTCTTTTTTTATGTATATTTAACATTGGTTAATTTTTTTTTTTCTGTATTTTCTGTTTGAGTGTTAACACCCTGGGAGCCTGTCAAAGTAATGGTTTAGCAAATTGGTTTTGAAACCCAATGTTCATAAAGAGAACTTGATCCTCATTGAGTCCTCTCACTATTGCTGTTCTGCCAAAAGGAGTTAAGCTTAGTGAAAAACTTATTTTACAAAAGGCAAAGGTATCTGAAATCCTATTGACCAAACAAAAATAAAATAATAGTATATACACATCCACATCTGTTACTGAAAATCAGTCATTTGTAGCTTGAACTTAGATACGAGTCAACATGTCTTTTAGAAGAGTGCAATTAACTACACCAGCATAATGTAGAGTCAAGCAACAGATCATGTATAACTGAATTTCAACGTGTGTGCATGTGTGTGAGTGTGGGGGGGTAATTGTTCACAAGATTTGACCTACATCAAAAGTGACTGAAATCTTTCTAATTATGACCCCCAACAACATATTACTTGAGGAGTGTGTGCACTTATTCTCAAGTGAAGTCAAAGTTCATAACATTTATTCAGTAATCTATCATTTTTTTGTTCTTTTTGAGAGATAATGAAAACTACCAGTTGTAGCATGTTCTTATCTAAACATATTTAATATACATTATCAAAAAATGTGAAGACTTGTGGAATTTATTTAATCCATAGAGAATGATTTCTTTTTAAAAATGTTAAGTATTTACTTGCTGATGGAATAGAAAGGGATAACCTTAATGGAGGGAAAATACTGTAGGCATTTAAGGCACTTAAGGTCTCTTCATTCCCCCCCCCCTTACTTCTGGCAGTTGGTTGGTTGGTTGTCTTGTTTTATGGCATATCAACATCAGTGGGTCATGTAATGCCAACAACTTTTTTTTTCCCTGGTAATATTTTGTTTTGTCAAAAATCTATTTCTGGTAATATTTTTTTTTCCTCAAAAATGTATAGCTGATAATATTATTTTAAAACATGTATAACTGATAATATTTTTTTTTCAAAAATGTATTGCAGGTAAGTTTTTTTTCTTCAAAAATTTATTTCTGGTAATAACTTTTTTACAAATTATTTCTGGTATTAAAACTTATTTTTACGCTTTTATAATGCTTTTTATCTCAGTTTCGGAGTTAACTATTTGCCCATAGCTGGGATCCTAACAGGTGCTACCACCCTGGATCAGGTTGCGCCTAGGAATACCAGCAATTAAGAGGTGGTTTAATACTCCTCTAAACCTCTTGATCAGTGGCCTTGCTGTTGGATGTAGCTTATCGTCTTACCCTGGACACAGATGTATTTTATCGTCATACCCAGGATGGCCCACTTCTGGCAGGATAACTGTAATGTTAGATGGACCACCAGGATTTTTACCAGTGTGATAATCATTTAAATAAAAAAAAAATAAAAAAATGCAAATAAATGTGTAGGTTAATTCACATATCATATGGATTTTGTCGATCAACCAAACACATAACTGACCTGCAAACATTGACTTTTGAATTGTAGTTTTTCTGGTTCTGATGTTTTGGGAAACCAGGTGGTGGCCCTCGATGCCTTTGTTGTTGTTGTTGTTGTTGTAGCTGTTGTTGCTGCTGCAACTGTTGCTGCTGCTGTTTGTGGGCTGCAGCAATTACAGCATTGTTGTGGACTCCCACTGTCCTGGCTTGCAACATTGGGTGACTTGCAGCACTTACATTAATGGGGGCTGAATGGGAAGTGTGTTGCTGTGGTAATGTATGGGCAACTGACTGATTCCAGCTTTGAGAATGCTGATGGGATGGCAGGTTGGCTGTAGAAAGAACCTGGTCTTTGGCTCCTAACAAAAAGACAAATTAAAAAAAAATCATTTTCATGAAATAAATGTTGATAAATAAAGATAGTTAAAGTTACAAATATGAAAATTAATTATTAATATTAAAAAAAGAAAAAGTAAACTTTCTTTAGGTGTAAAGATATGTGTTTTGTTCATAATGAAAACTTTCAAAGATTACCTGTATTTTTTTAAAAGTCAATTCACTCCAAGCAAGGTGATAATGCGAGTAAGACGCAAGGGGCTACTGTGAGTGAAAGAGAATGAAAAACACTTTAGAAGGAACCAACCAGAAACCCAATCCTTAACAGGAAACAAGGGATAAAACTCTGCTCCTGTTCAAAAGCCTGAGGAGGAATGCAAACAATAGGTTAACCTATCTACTGCTATAACTTTACTTAAATTTCCTTAACATTGAGTGGTCACTAACATTCACTAGAAAAATGCGATGATATACACAGGGGATAAAAAATTCAATTGTGGTATGCAATCTGAACATAATCACATATAATGCTGCTAGGTCCATGAGTAAACAATATCCTAAAGCAGTCAGCCATGTAATAGGAATCTGCATTAACTGGTTTATTTCCTGTTCTTTTTGGTACTTTTTTCTTGAAACGTTCATAAAGAATATATGGTATCAATATGTGATGCCATGTCATTTACAATATAGACAAGCCATTGTTAAACAATGTTAATGTAGACAGCTTTTGAAGTGTCATCCAACTAATTTCACTCACAAAGCTGAAGTCAACCAGCAGTATTGATTTCAGGCTCTCCCTAACGGAGAAATATGTCGGACTCATCTCCCCTGTATGAAGATATCAAGGTCACCAACCAGCAGTGAAATACAAGCTAGATTGGTTGGTTTTGTTTGGGAGCATATCAACCACCGAGTTATTTTCATGCCAAAATCTAAATATTTTGTTTGCAATTTTATTTTATTTTTGGAGATAATAGTTTAGTGATACAAGTCTTACTAATTAACCTATACCTGGAGGGAAGAAGAGGTGGATCCATACCTTTCCAAGAGTATTTACACATAAGTGAATATAATGAACCCTACTGGAATTGGAACTTGGCTCTCCAATTAACAATTTCAAACCATCACCCATTACGCCACCTGCAAATCCAAGCTTACAGTACTTGGTATTTCCAAGAAGACACCCATCTGGATACTGACCAGGCTCAACATTGCTTAATTTCAGTGATCATACAGGAACTGGTATTTCAATATGATATGGCTGTATGCTAATGCACTATCTGGCCACATACCAAGCAGTTTATTTCCAATGGTTTTTAATTTTCTAGTGTTTCCAAGAATGTTTGGTTAATTTGGTAATGGTAGATTAAAAATGACATTGTATATGAAATTTGGTTTCTCTCTGAGAGAAAAGAACAAACTATTGTAATGTTTTGAGAAACTTTTAAAAGGTGGCAGCTTCTGGCAAAATGCAAAGTGTACAAGTCGGTATTTGTTTCAAACATGGTGAAATGTCACTTCAAGACCAAGATCTGGTTGACCTTTAATAATTTAGATTAATGAAAATCTTCAAAAAATCTCTTATACAATCAATGAAAATTATCATCATTGATGAAATAGCTAAGGTGATGGATTTGTCTTGGAATTAATGAGGCCAGTCAGTATTAAGAGAAGATTTCAAAATGAGATATTTTGACCAATTTTTTTTTTCAGAGGATGAAAACAAAAAAAAAGTCTTGAATATGCAATAGGATTTCAAGAAACAAGTTCAAAATTACCAACGTTTTTTTTATGTGTAGAGAGACACATACATACACTAAATTAAGAATAAAAATTCTTCTTTTAATTAGAATTATTTAATCAATCACCTAATATATATAAACAACAGCTAACCTATTGTAAATCATTATTAGTATCCAAAAAATAATGAGATTAATGTTTGGGACTAATAGATTATATATTTAGAGATCATATTTCAAAGAATATTTTTAGTTATATCACAATGTAGAAGTTCCTTTGGTTTAATAAATAAAATAAAAGAGGATTTTTCATTTTCCAACATAAACTTTTTTGAATAACCTAAGTTTTCTTCCACTATCTTTTCTGCTATCTTTCAGGCAACTTAATAATTTTACCCTACCTGAACTTGTTTTTTTTTTCTCAGCAAAGAACTATACTCAGTTTCAATTGAAATATTTTCATCAAGAGAATCTTGTCAAAACTGGAAAAATGGTAACCCAAACATGCAATATCTGCTGAAACTTCCCCTCAAAGACATTATCAACTTTTGCTTGGTCTTCAAAAGAAGCATCTGGTCTAATACCATTCTTATGGAATATCATGCACGTTCACACAATTTCAGAAGTTTTTCATCAACTTGTTGAATTTGAAGTAATGGTTGTTTAAATCAATGAATTGGTTCATTGAAAAGAGCTCATAGTAGAAGATACCATTCCATTTCTACCATATGCACAGAATTACTTAATTTGAATGAAGAACAGATTTTGGTAGTGTTAGTGATGCTTCATTTCCTTGGTTGCATAATTTCTTGCATTCTACATTACTGTCAGTATCCAATTTAAAATCACCAATCACAATTTAATAAAGCAACAAAAAATGTAGCTTTTCAGTTGCAAATCATCCAGAAGTACTAGAATATTTTTTTCGTTTATGCAGATTGATCGTTTTTTTACAGCTTATCAACCTTTTGCCAGTTATTTAAAGCTCAAACATATTTTCAATTGTAAGAATCAATCCATCCCTCAAATGAATATTGCATTAACAATTTTTTGGAGAATAACAATGATTCTTCAAGATACAAGTCCTAATATTTAATCCATAGCTGGGGTAGAGAGAAGGAGATGGATTCATGCCTTTCCCAGTAGTGTTTGTGTGTAAGTGAAGGTAACAAACTCAACTGGAATTTGAACCTGGATCTGATTTCTCATTCATGTGGAAGTCACATATAAAAGTAACTAACTTAACCAAGATAGTGTAATTGATTCTCACACTGCTTGATTTGAATATTTTGAGGATGTTGGCTATTTTCCATATAACATAATGCTGTTTATTCTTGTCTTTATTTGATTACTATCAATCTCATCTACTTGAGTGGTGAGCATTTTTCTACTTATCTCAAGCTCAAAAATTTGCAAATCCTTTTGATATATTCATTCATAGTTTTTTCTCCATAATTTGATTTTGTGTTTGACTCGCATTTTAATGTTTCTTAAAATAAAAAGAGGCAAAATACACTGTTTACTTTCTCCAATTTTCAATATAGAAGAAATAAACAAAAATACAGCAATTTTGGCTATTTTTTTAAAATGCATCTTGATCAGAATACTGTTTCGATATAATTAAAAGCAATCTTTGAGTAATGCTTCTAATGTCACCTGCTGACAAAATCAGGACTGTGTTTTGGTTTCCCAATATTTGTTAGTTTTATTAAACCTGCAGATGAAACTGGGTAGCTGTTTAAGCTTTTACTCTGTATAAAAGAGAATTCAGAAAGCACTTGAAAATTTATTTTTGGTTCGCAAATATTTAATATAGACTTAAAACCAATTCCACTTTTATTAAAACTTTGATTGCTTTGTCAAAAGAAGCAAAGCTTGAGAATGGATTTCACTTTTGCCTTAATTTGAGTTTTGAGTTTATATTTATCCCTTCAAATTAGTAAAAAAAAAAAAAAAAAAAAACAACCAGATACAACAATTTTATGTTAAGTAACATTTCAAAGTAGGGGTTGAAAAATTATCAGACTGGTCCATTTTCCAAACTCAGATCAAATGGCTAATCAGATTTTTTTAAGGGCTTTTTGCTCAGATACGTCCTCACAGATGAGGAGTGGGGGTGGGGTTGTCATATCTATGTCATGAAAGAAAAACAATTCAGTTAACAAAGGTTATTAATAATTGTGCATTGCAGTCAAAAGCATATTTCTAACTTAACATTCCAATATATAAACAAATAAATTTTCCTGCAAAATAAAATTGGATTCACAGAGTCAATGGATTTTAATATTAGAGAAGAAATAAAATGTAAATTTTTTAAATTGAAGAGATTAAAAGCTGACAATTCAGAAATAGCTCAGTGAAATCTCAGAAATAATGAGAAACAGTGCCAGAAAAGACAAAAGCAGTTTAAAGGGAATATTTGTGTTGAGTTGAGCCACTGATTTCTGCAAACAGAAAGCAGAGATCAAGATGCATGCATTTCAATGATGCAAAAACAGATGGACAAAAAAAGACAACATAAAATAAAAGCTATAATTCTATAAAATAATAGTGACATTAGTAGAATTCGGGCAAGTTTTGCAGGTCAGTCATACATATCATGGAGGTAATGCAAAAAAACTTGTAGAGGTAGTAACTAAGAAAAAGGTAAAACAAAAATACTTTTATGACATAAATAACCCAAAGAGATAAATTAGAAGAAATATATGTCAATACAAATTTTGTAATACCAAGCATAATTTTTTTTTTTTATAAGAAATAAATTATCTTTCATAGTGGAACAATATACATTGTAAAAGTAAAAAAGATACTCCCAAACAGGCATAGACAAGAGAGATTCTTTTTAAACTATCCTGATTTGAAGGGAGATAATTGAGGCGAAGGAACTCTTATAACACCTCAAAGATTTCATTAAAAGAAAGGGTTCAAAACAATGTCATTAAATGGTACTTGCAATATAAACTAATGTTTAGCAAGTCATTGCTACCAAATTTATATTGATTAGTTTCCGTTGTGATCCTTTCAAGTGCACGGATTAAATTTTTGTTAGATTTTAGAAAATTGAGTAAGAAAAATACCAAAATTTTCTTTCAAATAGTTTTTATTTTCCAAAGTACTTCCAATAACATCTGAGACCATCTTCAGAGGATTAAGTTGTCTGTTAGTATGCATATGTGTTTCTGTGAATTTAAAACATTTCAACAGTTTGTTTTTTTACTGCTTATGCAGTGTTCTATGCAGTTGAATTCACAGAAGCACACACACATATATATATATATATATATACTCACAGACAGCCCCTGAAGATGGTCTCAGATGAGATTGTAAGTACTTGAGAAAATAAAAACTATTTGAAAGAAAATTTTAGTATTTTTCTTAATTTTCTAAATCTACTCAAAAATCACTCTGCAAACTTGAAAGGATCACAACAAAAACTTATCAACATGATATGTCTAAATTATTTAACCAAACCTGTTTGAATGAAAATATGCTGCCCAAATATACACAAAAGATATATATATATATATATATATATAAATAAAAAGGAGGCTCAAGGGATGAGTTTACTGGGCAGTAAAAATCCTCGCCTTCAAAAGAAGAAAAAGAGAAAGACTTGTAATTACATTGTCAATAAAAAATTATATATCACTCTATTAATTGAACTATTTACTTAGTTCATGTCATGTTAATTAGAAAACACTTACAACAAAAGAATTTGTGGATTTACCAAATTACAAAATTCATATAAAAAATTCATTTGAAATATTTGAACTTTAGAGTTACAACTTGCACATTCCAATATTATATAACCGTTAATAAATAACACATTCTTGAAAAAAAACATCTTTCGGTCTAAAACACATTTATTTTGTCTTCCAGTTTTTATTTTAAAGGAAAAAAATTACAGCCTGATGATGAAGACAAAGTTTTTGAAAGTACTTGCTGCTCTAAAAATACACCAGATCCATCTGACAACAATTTTATACATAAGGATCGCATCATTCAATGGATTGTTAGTAGGTTAATGCTTATATTAAGTCTGTTAGCAAAGAGAATTCGCCATTAATTGCATTAATATTGCTAATTGATTCAATGTGTGATTATCTATTTTATATATATATATATATATATAAAAAGGAGGCTCAAGGGATGAGTATTGGGCAGTAATAATCCCCCCCACATCAAAAGAAGAAGAAGAAGAAAAAAAAAAAGAAGTAGAAAGAAAGAATTGTAATTACATTGTCAATAAAAAAAGTTCAGATCCTATAATGTAAATTTTCTACTGATACTCCACAAGGAATTGGTTCATTGTCTTTTATGCCTAGTCCTAGAAATAAACTGTTGTGGAGTTATTTCACAGTGGAGGCTTGTATTTGTACTAAATTGGTCCTAAAATAGTTTGATGTACAAAACGTTAGGAACTTGATATAATAGGTATTACGCAGAGTAATCTTGTTGTGGTCGCTGACTACTTTCGTATTCGACTGTCGACTACTGTCGTCCAACATCGACTGACCCTTGTTTCTC